CGTCCGATCGGGAGCGATCCGACCATTCGATCCGGACCAAACTTGCAGGACGAGTATCCTAGATCTTGTGGAATCCATAGGAACTTTTGAATCTTAAAATGCAGGTTGTGGGCCCGGCAGGCCCGGTTGACCAACTTTGGGCAGTTTGACCCTCGGTTGACCGAGAGTCTTCCGAGGAAATTTCACTCTTCGAGGGTTACTAGAACGACCCTTTTGGACGAGTCTTGACCGTCATTTGATTTATGTTGATTATGTGGGTCTATGAGGTTATTTTTATGGTTTGTGATGGAAATCTTATGCTTTTGAATTTAATGGATTATTTAAATGCTTTTCATATTTAATAGACCTGGGCATATATGTGGGTTTGACATATTCGAGTATCTTGGGTCATATATATAATATTTGAGAAAATGCTATCTATGTAGATTATGTGTGGGGTACTTGGGATGTTGTGAGATGAGGAAAGATGTGAGATTAGAATGTTAGTTCGAGTGCTATTAGTATTATTACTACCTTAGGTACCTCCCTGGATATAGAATATGCTTGAGAGTTTATTGTCTATACTATGAATAGGTATTGTGGGAATATTGTTTTTATAATATTTATATAAGAGATTACGAACTCCACCATCATATGTACCTCCCCTTGGATGATGACACTTGGAAACAGTGGAAACGGATATTTGGAAACAATGGATATGGACACTGGGATACATGGAAATGGAAATATGGATATAGTTTGGATATGGTTTGGATATGTCGGAACCCGAGGCATCCTTGACGGGATGTTGCTGTAGACCCTTGATTGGGTAGTCTGCGCGCGTAGGGCTGTTTTCAGGCGTACGGGTCTTGATTCTTAGTCCGCATGTGTTGGCTGAGAGTTAGTCCCCCAGTTGGACGGCTCGTCCCTAGCCACATGGTCATTTGAGGATAGTTTCATGTGGACTAGTCAAACGATCCCCGGTTGGATTGTTTCCCCCAGTACATGATGTGCATCATCGTATGTAACTCCCCTTGAATACTGATACATGGACACAGTGGTTATGGATACGTGGATATGTCAGAACTCGGGGCATCCTTTATTGAGTAGTCTGCGCGCGTAGGGTTGTTTTCAGGTGTACGGGTCTTGATTCTTCGTCCGTACGTGCTGGCTGAGAGTTAGTCACCCCAGTTGGACGGCTCGTCCCTAGCCACATGGTCATTTGAGGACGAATACTTGTGAGCTAGTCAACAATCCCCGATTGGATTGTTTCCCCTGGTACATGATAATGGTGAGAGGTGGGTGTTATTATATATACTTATATACTCATTTATAGTCATACCTGTTACATAGTGGTATATGTGGTTTTGATTCTGGATTGAGATTCGTGAGATTGGGCTTTGTAAGTACCCTGTACATGTTTGAATGTTTAAGCCTTGGATTGGGAAGTGTTATTCGGCAACATACGCCTTAGATAGGGTATGGTTGCGCCGAAAGAACTGTTAAAGGGAAAGGAACTCATAAAGTGTTCAAGAGTTGCCTTGTCGGATTTTAAGTTGTGAGGAATCTGAAATGTATCGTTGTTTGTATTTTAAATATTTGTATATTATCGGAGTGGTGACCGTTGATGATAAGAACTACGTGTGGCTTGATCCCTTGCCCAAGGGTATGTAAGTAGCATGGGGTTTCACCTAGGTGCAGTTGCGAAATATACTATGTTTAAAAGGTTTGAACGATTCTGAGTTTATGAATAGATTTCGATGTGGTTGTTGGATTTGAATATGGTTTAATGTTTTCGGTGGTATTTGTAAAGTTGTTTGAGGTCATTCATTGCATCGTTTATGCTTTATTCGACTTAAGAACATTGTTGGTTTTGTTTCGAACCATTTGAAGGCCGGAGGCCTATTATGCTATTGCATGTTGATAACTGTGTGTATTGCATTGTGTATGCTGCCTGTTGGGATATAAACTGTGATTTTCTTTACATGTTGAAATTTTTGGGAAAAATCAAATTTACAGGGGAGACTCTGCCGAAATTTCGGCAGAAAGTCTCGGTTCTTAGTAAGTGGGCCCGGCATCGGTGCGATGTCGGATTTTCCACAAGACTCATCTTGGGTTCCGAGGAA